ATATATTAAATGACGTATAAGTTTTAATGACCGCTGATCTATACAGTGTTTTCATTTATTGTGTTATGTGTACAGAACATATTATACTGTCTAGCGACTGAACTATTACACTATACAGTCGTGCGGAAGTCTATTTCCTATATGAACATTAATTATTATTATTTGGGTGTGTTGCCCATGGATACTCTACTTCACGCATTGCACACACATGCGCGCACGCGCATAAACTGTATGCTTTATTTTTACTATGTATAAATGGATGAAATGTCAATCAAACCGAACGTTTCTAGCGAAAAACTCAATCCCGGACAATACAATGGAGGTTGATGGAACTGCGTGTCCAAATGCAAACAATTGTCTTGGAATGTATACATGGATATAAGGTGGTTATGTTTGGTGTACATAATAATGTTATCTAGCTGCAATTTACAGAGCGTCGAACAAGAAGAAGGTGAGTCAATGTTTTGGTAATATACTTTGTGTCACTGATTTATGAACGATCGAAAMAAAACAAAACAAATATATTATATGAATTCACCAATTAAATATTATAGATATATTATGTGTCATATATTTTGTCTTATTATCGCTTAAAGTAAAACGATAAATTTGTGTTTATTTAATGTGTGATATATTATAAAATACTTTAGTGTTTTAGWWATAGTTACAATATTAGATTACAACGATTGTCTATATTTTTTTGTTTATACTTTGATGTTGTTAAAAATAAACAATAATTAATTTTTGCAATAAAAATAAAATTTATATTTTAGAAAATCTAATCGACTCCATGCACAACTATACAAATTTGAAAATATTTTTATGGTCCGGTTCCGGAGATGGTTCGAATKAACCAACACAAACATCCAGCACTAAAAAAATTCCATCTTATTCAGTAACTTAATTGATTTATGGTGATTGTTGTGATAGAATAAAAACGTAAATTGATAAAACATAATGTTATTTTAGGAAAATCCCGAGGATTGTATAGGCGGGCAAGATTGTAACATTCARCCTACGACGTCTATTACGCCACATCACGGGGTTATTGACATTCCACAAACAGCCGAAATACCAGAGAAAGAATATTGGATAGTAACAGAATTAAATTTCGACTCGCCAGCGGATGTTCATATTTCCATACCAGTCATAAAAGAAAAATTGGCCATCCTCTACACGATTGCGTTTACTAGGTATTATACGTCATATTTAAATAATCCAATATATACACACATATTTTTTTTACATAGAGCATATACCTATTAATATATATGAAAGTTGTACGTAAACAACATCCGTTTTTATACGTRCAAGCGTGTATGATGGCGAATATATTATCCGTAGTGATGTAAGAACTGTGTACAGTACAACAATAAATAAATGTTGGTGAAACTCAAAATAGTTTAAAAAAAAATTTAAGCCAATATGATAATGTATTTGGTATTCAAATACTAGTTATTGAATTTAATTAAACTAATCGTTATTTTTGAAGCAATATAATTATTATTTCTTTTTTGTTTTACTTGTGGTTACACGTGATTGAAATACTTTTAAACAAAATTATGTTTTCTACTCCAATTTATAAACACATTAATTTAAAAACAAAAAAAAACATAAATATTTCATATAGTAAATTATAATCTAGACTCTTATTGTTTGTCGAGGCAGTATTATGTTTTTATTCGTTACGTATTTAATATTTTCAACATAAATCCTAATTATTTGTTTATTCAATGACGTTGCAGCGTATGTATTYGACGTAATATTTCATAATGGTCGTAACTATGTATACGAAAAATAACTGAATACAATTATTATTATCTATATAGCATGGGTTTAAAATATTATGTGATCTACAGATGATGTACCTACATCAAATCGTATAAATAATAGTTACAAAGTCATTACTATATATAGGTAAATATGACCTAATAAATATTGAAAAAAAAAAGATTAAATTTTAAGTCATGTGTGGTGGCTGATTGCCGATTGACACCAGATATGAAATGAAGTTTCGATAATGCATCGTTACGAAGCAAACGTTTGATCAATAAAATAATATCGTATATACTTCAAATACGCATATTATCCGTATTAGTTGTCCATAGAATTACAGGCGATTAAGTTCGATTTATCCGTAATTTAGGTGCCTACACTTATAATACTGCGTATAAATACTATTTACTGAATCACTATAAATGTTGTTTATYCATCAGACAACAGGCTCGGCATCTCGGACTAAACTCGAATTGGACCGAGGATGAAGTAAACTCAGATCGGAATCGAAGATGGGACACGAACGAAAAACCAATTAAAGTCAAAGTAGACGTACTATCCGTACTGAATAAATTGGATTTGGTTTATTTCGTCAGCGTCAACGGCCATCCTGTGTCTGCTGCAACAGCAGTACGTGACATGAGCCTTGTCACGACACGGGAAGTTGCAGATCATTTGGGATACGCTGTGAAAATCAAAGCCCGCCGTGAGTTATGTAACATATTATGTGGTTGAACATGAAATATAATGTTTTGTTAGTTTTTAAAATCATCGGTTTTATCGTGTACATGYAGCTTACCTAGACGGATTACAGTTTCAAAGAGTTCGTGGTGTAAGCTATAATGAGATTTGGATTTTCATCACGGCCACATGTGTAGTTATACTGGTGCTCGTAACTGGCGTTGTCGTGGCGCATAAGAAAAAAAGAAGAAAAAATAGCATCAGCTCCGACAGGACTAACATGGCGTTTTGTGAAGATCAAACGCCTCACAACGATGTACGTACCTATATTTATTTCCTTCACAATTTATCGCTAAAGAATTCGAGCAGACGGCACTGTTAAAAAATATTCATTATTTTTCAGGTAAAAACAGAGGCTACGTCTACTGAAGACATCGGTGCTCTCCACACACCCGAACCAAAGCCGAGAAATAGAAATAAAATTTCAAATTCATTGCTTTCGATGCAAGCCGTTAATAAATTTCAAAAGTTAGTAAGTCAATATTTAGCATGGAATTAAACGTTTCTGCGCTAAAAAAAAATTTAAATAAAAATAATAGTATAGGTACATAAATAAAAATTATCCACAG